GTATATCGTAGATTCTATCCACAAAATAATTCATATTTAAAAAAAATTGCAAAATGAATCAAGCAGGTATTTTTAGTTTATTGAGCAAGACTATCTGGCACTGTTTCAAGAATACTAAATCATTCTGATTTTATTTTTCTATCAATAGATACCATACACAAGCGATGTCTATACGCAGCATATTATTTTACTCAAATATAATATTCTCATTTTCTAATTCGCAGGATTATCCTATCCTCTACTTAAATTCTATCTCATTTTAGGATGAAGGTGATCGTGACTCGCCATTTTTTTGTCTTTATATATCCGTTTATTTTATTTGTTTACTTTTTGCGGAAAAATATATGAATTGATTTCATGTTGAATTTCTTCATGATTTCAGTTTAGAATAAAATGGCCTTCCTCTAGGCTGATCAACACACCATGGCTGAAGAACTCAATCTGCCCTACCATTTAATACATAGATATGATTTCAGCATTGAGATAATACAAAATAATTCAAAATTAAAAAAGAAATATGGCAACTGTTGGATCTAAATCCAGAATGCAGTCAGTGATGTCATTTTTAGTACGCTTTTATTCCAAGACACCATCTTAAGAGAACACCGACAATTAAGTAAAATGTCCCCCAAACCACAATTGATGCCTGAAGGGCAGACACTATCGAAAACTAAATAACAAAAAAAGTTTATTGCTATACGTACTTTTAATAAGGCTGCTTTCATCAATTAGATTGGACAAGAGATTATCACTTTAGGAGCATCAACATGTTAACATTAACTATAATGTTAATATTTATCACAGTCATTTAAACGTCAGTCAGTTAAGTGCCATACACTTAACTGATTATGTCTGTTTCGATTCATGACTGACTAGGTTGAACATTGCTCCGCAGTAGGTTGCCGTTTCTTTTTGCTGTAAACTGGTTTCCAAACAAGGCTGTAGGATCCAGTCTGTCCTGCTATTCAACCTATAGGTGGGTGAAGAGATGGAGTCATACCTTTTACAAGGATACATGCGCTTAAGTGAATCTAAAGGACTCGACTGGAATTATAATTCTGCTCTCCGAGTTATCCATTCCTCCATAACGCACATCCACTTTTAACTTAAAGGAAGCAATTTATAAATTCTTTTGGAAATACCCGAATTGTCGGTATTACTATTCTTGTGCTTTTGGGTCAGTTATAATAAATAAAATTCATGAAGTGCTTAATACTAAAAAATCAATATATATATATATATATATATATATATATATATATATATATATATATATATATATATATATATATATATAGCTATATTTTTGTCTGTTTTCTTTCAATATCTGATAACGCTTTTAATAAAAGTGAAACATGTTAGATAGATGTACATTTCCTACTTCTTCTTTTTACTTATCATACATCCACCCATACACACACACACACACACACACACACACACACACACACATACATATATATATATATATATATATATATATATATATATATATATAGCGTGCGGCATATATTTAAGAACGCGTCTTTTGAAAGCCATAAGTGAGCAACTATAATTTAAAAGTGTGTCTCTTTTTCTTTTTTTTTAGCCCTGCATTGAAAGATTCGTCTCTACGGCTGGAGATAAAAAGACGTGACATTCTTGTTGTGTTAACTATCAACCAGACAGATTGGCAGCTTTCAGCCATCTTAAATGTCACCAGGTCCTTCATGTTGAAGAGAAGAGAAATGCTGCAGGCCTTTGGCAGGAATGGCTTTTCAGTGGCCAAGAGAATATAACATTTTCGACCGTTTGTCCAGCTTGACCAGGATATCATCGACGAAAATCCCGAAAAATCAGACGCCTATTGCCAATCAGCTCCATGTGTTGGAGTTAACAATCAGACATCGTTCACGAAGACATCAGATAAAAAATCTTACGTTATGAGTAGAGGGTAGTTCCTGTCCAGTAGTGCTGTCCAAACAAAGTCAAGCACCAAAGGAATCCAACATATCTTTTCTTACTAAGATGAAAAAATTCAAAAAGTCTACAGAATAATTGACAGGTTGCTATTCGCCAGCCCCACTGAAGTTTTTACCGTTATGCATAGAATGATGATGAGGGCCAGGCAATGCCTCCTCACTTTAATTTACAGAGAATTAAGATATATAAAAGGAAAACTTAGCAACAAGAATAATTTCCAAAACCATGTTATTGATGAAGAACTAAGTTTTTGCTTTAAATATTTGTTTATGAAAAATAAGATAAAACACATTTATAAACAATAATATAAACTCTATAAAATCATTTTATCATAACAAGATGCAACCTAATTAGAACTAACGTCATTAAAAATATAATTCTATGATGCATTTGTATATAACATTTATTGATCCTGAGAAATACCTTTTATTTATTTCAGATATAATTAAAAAAAGGAACATATCAAAAATAAAATAATAATTAATAAAAATGAATCATTTACAAAAAGGTGAAATATATCTCCATAATTCTTTTAACAGCCTTGTTAATTTTTCAAATTAGAAATTCATTAAACAGCTAATGGAATTGGCATATTGTTTTATAATTCTAATGAAATTACTCAACCTCGGGCTAAATTGCCGCCATTAATTCCAGTTTTGGATTACAAACGTTACACAAATTTGAAAGCATAAAAGATAGGAATAATTACTCAACTGGTAACACTGTTTTAAACAAAGAATTAAAAAAAAGCTATTAAGAAATCAAAGAAAACAAAAAATAATATAATTAGGAAAAATGACTCGTTCACTCTTTTTGTTTATATTTCTGAGATGAGGTATTATCTACACTATTTATATTATTCGGACTATTGTCCTCATCTTTATTGTTATATTTATTACAACTTTAAGGCAGTGGAGAACTTGGAGAGAGGAATTAACAGGAGATAACTGATAACTGATATTCATTAAACATGACATGTGGAACTAGAACAGTCTACCACAGTGAGCGAAATAAAGGGTTCAGATGAAGATGGCCGGAGTGTACAATGGCCGAAACATTGTAATAAATACGGCGACAAAGATGAGGACAATAGTCCGAATAATATAAATAGGGTTCAATATTTTTATTATTTTAAATAGGAGTGAATATCAAAAAGCTTGATACCATCCTCAATAATACGGCCAGATTTAGGAAATTAAATAAAATACAACTAATATCCTTAAGACAATATAAACAGATGAATTACAACTAATAAAAGCGGAAATAAAATCAATGAAACTTAACAAATTTGTAGGTTTAATAGCATCCAAGCTATTGACAAGGAAATGTCAGAACCCATAGACCAAAGTCTCTGCTACGTTCCATAATTCCTTAAATATTTCTCAAATACTTACTCCTGTATATGACTTATTTAAAACTCCACACAAACTGACCTAGTAATATTAATCAATAAAAAATAACGTTGGTTCCATAACGAATTGAATAAACATATCAGTGGCACCCTAGGCTCATTAAATGTTAAAAATCTGTTTCCTTATATTCCTGTTAAGGATAACGTAGAAATAGTAAAATAAAACTTATATAATCCTAAGCTACCACGTCTTAATATTAGATCAAATTTTTTACGTAAACTCCTTCTATCTTGCACCTTATTAATATCATTATACGATAATATTTACACACAGACAGACGACGAAGCTATGGCCTCGTCCCTGGACCCAACTCAATCTAATTTCTACATGAACCATATAGAAAACAAAGTTTTCGCCAAACCCCCAATAATATGCCAGATATATTGACGACACTATCATATATATGCGGGGTGCGATGGAGAAATGGTCACCATTTTCTGTTTTAAATTCGCGCATGCGCGTTGTTTTTAATTTTGTGGACTACACAGAAAAGTAGGTCCGTTGAACACTGTTTGTGAGAAAAAAAGCACTATGATGCGATTCACTCCACCAGAAATTTGGAAACGTCATGCATTCACACCAGAAGATTCAATACAAACATTTCGGAGTGATTGGGTTTCAATCTGAAGAGAGTGTAGAGGATTCGGAAAGAGGTGGATGAGTCTCATGGTGATTACGAAGGTACGGTAGCTCGGAAAACTCACAATAAACGTCCTGCTAAGAAAAGAACTCCCGAATTTGTTGTTGGGAGTCCCTGACACAACAAGAAAGGCTACATTAAGTGCCTTGAGGAAGTAGTAACGCCCTGAATCAAGAGAGTGGCTGCTGGAAGACCCATGTCTGGCAACAGGTCTCTGCACCATGCCACGCAATCAGGAGAACCCTGTTATGGCTGTAAGATTATTTCTGCAACCACAGCGCCCCCTATATATGGTCACGTAACTCCCCAGACAACATTATATTTGATTATTATATCTGGGGTGCAGTTGAGAAACCAAGAAAAAACCAAAGATGAATTAAAGGCAATGATTATGACAGCATTCAACAACTTAAACAATAAGACCGTCCAGAAGTTTTGCAGGAGATACGAAGTTGTCTGGAAACCGTGGATGAAGTCAATGGCGATTTTATTGTATAAAAAATATTTGCATTTCAATAAATTTTTGTGCAATTTTGGTAAATATATCTGTTAAAATGAGATTTTTCATTTTTGTGTAATTTAGACAATAATTCTTCAATCGCACACTGCATATATATATATATATATATATATATATATATATATATATATATATATATGAAGAAAATTTGGAAAAAACAAACAAAATCCTTAAATGCAATTATGTTGTTTAAAATGAATGAAATGTCGACGTCTTTAATGAATATTGTCTTGAAAAAGGTTTATTAAACCAGAAACGTCAGACGTCGACATTTCATTCATTTTAAACAACATAATTGCATTTAAGGATTTTTGTTTGTTTTTCCAAATTTTCTTCATTCTGTCGGATTTAAATCCATTTACATTTGCTTACATATATATATATATATATATATATATATATATATATATATATATATATATATATATATATATATATATATATATATATATATAGATAGATAGATAGATAGATAGATAGATAGATAGATAGATAAAAAATAAATATTGAATCAACACACAGACAGGCGACAGGCTGTTTCATGTTGGACGCAATTTGAGGCCTGAGGTCCGACGCAATCGGAGGTCTGATGATTGCGCCTGTCGCCTCTGTATGTTGACTTCAATGTTCACTTTTATATTTATATTTTATATTTACATACGCTCTATCTCTGATATTGAACACTTTAGCCCATAAATATAGCACAACTTAAAACTATATTTCTTCATATATATATATATATATATATATATATATATATATATATATATATATATATAAGATATATAGACGACTCACCATTAATATATCCGCAAAATAATAATTTAACGGATCTTCTCTCCAAACTTAACAAGGTTGAACCTACAATAGTCTTCACCTTTGAAACTGAAATTAACTACACTCCTCCCTTCCTAGATATCATGTTATACAGAAACAATAACGAACTCGATTTTGACGTTTACAGAAAGGCTACAAAAAGAAATGACCCGATCAGTTTCTACTCACATCACTCTTCTAAAATTAAATCTAGTATTATTATAGGTTTCTATCTGAGAGTATTAAGTATGTGCAGACCCGAATATTTATCTAAAGAAGATACATACATAGTAAACTTTATTCAAAAACATACAATACCTACATCATTTCATCCACAACGCAAGAAGAAAGGCATACAAAATATATAACCGAAACATAAATAATAACAAAATCGGTAATGATAAATTACATGAAAACAGATGCATAATAACACCGACCAACTCCGTCACGTCCACTGTCCACAACAATCTATCCCATACAAATAATCTTTAAATAATCACAAACACTTCCAAAATAATTATGAATATATATATAATCAGATATTTATAAAATAATTTGCCAAAACTCTTCCTCCCAATACACTTAAAAACGAGCAGAAATATATATATATATATATATATATATATATATATATATATATATATATATATATATATTAAAATGAAGAAAGAAACCGGAAACGTTTTTGGTTGTAATGTGGATTTTTTTTAAAATTATGCTTTATTTTCCATAATTTTGCTATACGTGTTTCAAGTATCGCGACATTCATCAGGCAAAGAGTGGATATTTCTACATATTATTAAAAGGAATTAATTTCTTTTATGTTTTCCGATGTTAAATATTCTCGATATTAGACATTCTCTTTTTTGTCTGTTAGTGAACCAAACGTCTTCCTTGAACTGTCACTGAAAACGTTCTGCGTGAAGGGTCATAAAACAATTATGATTTTTCCGCGAAAGTGTTAGAAAGATATTTGTATTCTTATCTTTTAATGACCCCTGTGTGTTCTTAGATCTATTTCCATTTTTGTGCTTTTGTCAGCATGCCTAGATATATATATATAGAGAGAGAGTACGTGAATGCGTATTTTTATTTCGGAATTTCCTGCATACAGCAGGGTATTAAATAACCAGTACTCTCCAATGTTTCGTGACTCATGACTGATTATCTATGTTCATGTAGATTTGTTTGAAGGGTTTTCAAATAGATTCGGAAAAATTATACTTGACTACTCTTTAAGAAGCTAGAGCATCAAAACTCAACTTCAAAGATGATACTGTTACAAAATTCTTAGTTTTTTTTTTGCATCATCTTCTCTGCTAAATGATAATTGGTTTAAGAAATGGCTTTCATTCGGCTGCTCTTCCATATTAAATCATGGGATGAGGTATTGGTAATGTTACGCTAATTGCAGCACATTGCTACATATACGAACAAATTCTTGTTACATATTTTTTTTTAGCATTGTTCAGCACGAATGGTATTTTTCTTTCAATAGTAAATTGAACAGTCGCTTAATTCACAGCCGAAATCAAGATACACAAAACTGATGATAAGTGACTCTTGCTCAACCTTCTTTACAGTCGACCCCCTTTCGAAATCAAGTTCGAAGCGGACAAACTACGAAGCACTATGTTATGATTGATCTCTTGCGCATTTATTTTATTTCTTTTTTTATTATATTTTATAATGTTTACAAATACGTTTTGTATATTTTATTGTATATTTTTACAAATACTTTCCTCGTAACTGCTCCGAGGAGCTGCTTTCGCTGGTTCCAAAACTTCATGAATTTAAGCGTTCTACTTGGCTGGCATCTCGCTCACACACTTTCGCTGTCGAAAACTGTTAAATGTAGCCGTCTCTTCTACTCCAATTGCTTCATGTCTCGCACCTCTCGCCTGTGGAAATCCCTCCCATCTTCATGTTTCCCTGATGGCTATAATCTCCAACAATTTAAGTGTAATGTCAATCGACGTCTCCCGTTGCCTTGACCTATCCACTATCCTTCTATTCATCATTTCCTCTTTCACTCCTATTTGCTCTAGCTCCAACTCTCTGTAACCCCTTGCGTGCTAGTGGCTTCCCGCCTTGATGTATATATATTTTTTCGAAAATATATACCTTTATAGTATTATAAACATTAGTTGTACAATAATTTAAATATCTGGGTAGTGTTTTTCCAGAAGACGGACAATGCGACATTAAAATCAAAAGCTAAGCAAATTCTTAAGAAACAGGAAAATTTCGTTAGAAACAAAGAAAAGAGCAGTGAACTGTTATATCCTATATGGCAGTGCATACTGGACAATCTCCTCAAACTTGCTGAACAGAATTATAGTTCCACAGAAAGATGCTGAGAATACCTTGGACCAAATATTTGAAAGAAAATTGAAATAAAACTTCTATTTAATATCAGGTAGAGGCAGTTGAAATTTCTATGGCACTTTATGATTAAAGAGGTCCTAGAAAAATGATACTCACAAGAGTGATTGAACCTAAGAAGGACAAAGGATAAAAACGTATCACCTACCTAGAGAGCTTGAGTAAATGCATGTTGGAGCAAGATTTCGGAGAGTAAGGAAACATCGCTTATTAAGAACTACAAAGGGTAGAAAATTGTGGAGAGCCATGATGGCTAACATCCTGAAGGAACATTGCACATAGAAGAATATATCGTTGTAACTCTATTTTACATCTATCTATCTATCGATATTGCTATACAGACGGATGCTGAGAATACCATAGACAGAACATGTGAGTAACGAGGAAGTTAAAAGGAAAATGGAAACAAAACGGAAGAGATGGTTGGAATTTATGATCAAAGGTCCTGCGAAGCTACCGAACAAGTTCATGTAAATGGATTGTAAAGGGACACGACACTGAAAAAAAAAAGAAGCAATTTTGTACACTAATTCACATCTAGAGAATCGAAAGGTCATATTCACTCAGATTTTTTCTATTGCTACTTCCATAGAAAGTCTTCGCGCGAACTACATACCTTTGTCCCGTCAGGTTTAACCTTCACAGGTTGGGTCCACTATTCTACACATGTTGTAGCAAATCACCATCATTCTCTCTGTATTCCATTAATGAGAAGTAAATTCCATTCGAACAGCATCTTTGCGCGAATGACTGCTCTGTGGAACAGACTAACAAGAGAATGTTTCTCCGATCACTACAAACTTAACCTGTTAAAGTCTAGAGTCAACCGTTGTCTTCTACTCCTAAACTAACCTTTATCGTAACCCTCTGCCTCGAGTGCCCCTGGGCTATTGTACAGACTGAACATTAATATATATATATATATATATATATATATATATATATATATATATATATATATATATATATATATAAAAAGAGACTTGTAACCACAGAAATGAGGTTCTGAGGAAGGATGGTAAGAATAACATAGACATGTAACCAAAGAGGAATTTTAAAGTAAAATGAAACTAAAAACGGTGCTTATAAGTAAATCCAGAAGAAAGGAACCGAAATTACTAGGATACATAATGAGGAATGAAGGTTTAGAAAATCTGACACTCACAGTAGGTATTGAAGGTAAAAGGGACAGCAGAAGTCGGCGAGTAGCGTATCTAAAAAGCTTCTCTAAATGGATGGATGAGTAGGAAATGGAAAGATAGAAAATGGCAAAACTTGTCTTGAGCTATATGGGAAAAGAAAATGTGGAGAACCATGATTACTCTCCTCCTGAAAGGACATGCCTCATAGAAGTAGTAGTGGTATCTATATGTCTGTCTGTCTGTCTATCAATCTTTCTATCTCATTCTGTTTATATCTATCTATCTATCTATCTATCTATCTATCTATCTATCTATCTATCACTTTATGTATGTAAGTATCTATCTGCCAGTCTATCAATCTTTCTATCTTATTATGTTCATGTCTATCTATCTGTTTGTCTGTCTATCTTTCTATTTATGTCATTCTGTTCATATCTATCTATCTATCTATCTATCTATCTATCTATCTATCTATCTATGCAAGTATCTATATGTCTGTCTATCAATCTTTCCATCTCATTCTGTTCATTTCTATCTATCTATCTATCTATCTATCTATCTATCTATCTATGTTTCTTTAGTGTCTGCTTTCATGACACTCTATCATGTACTGACTTTGAACCACACTGAATTCGTTACTATTGTCTCCCTATATATGAAAACCCTAAGCCTGGTAATTGTATGTTGAGTGTCTGTCGTAGAAGGAGGTCTCACTGAAAACTCGCTCATGGAGAGAATTCGATTTCACCGTGGAACGTTCTGTTAAGACATTTCCCTAGACAAATAACGTCTTTATTAATTGTATATTTATATATTTTTTTTCCTGAGTGTTTTCTTTTTTCTCTCATTTTCTTGTGGGCCAAATTTATTTTCTGTGTTCTTTCTCTTTTATTGCCTTTTTCAGATTTGCCGAGGCGACTTTAATTAAAATGACACCAACAGATAAAAAAACACGGTTTTTCTAACCATTCGAGGGATGTCCTGACGACCTTGCTTAATTTATTACACTCAGTTTATTTCTCTTCTTTCGTCTCTTTCTAATTTCCGACATAAATGTATTTATTTGTATTTTTCCGTTTTCCTTTATCCGAGTTTTTTTCTTGCTTAATTTGTCAAAGACTCCAGAAAAGGATTCACAGAATAAAAAACATACTTTAGCGCTCAGTGGTTAAATTTAGATCCATTGTTACAATTCGTTCTTTTTTCTTTTGTTTTTCTTTACTCTTATTTTAATTTTATTTTAATTATTTTTTTTTAGTGGGGTGTTAAGTTTTGATTTTTGATTTTTGTTTACATTTATCCTCATATCTTTTACATTTCACTTTCTATTTATTTATTTCCTTTACTGCGTCTTCTTTCTTTCATTTACATCCTTTTTATCTTTTCCCTTTTTTTTATTTTTTACCTTCTTTCTTCCACGTGTTTGACGTTTAATCTCCTTTTTACTTTTCCCTTACTTTTTCTTAATCCTTCTTACATCCTATTTCTTCTCACTAATCGTCATCATCTTCTTCTTTTTCTTCTTTTTCGCCATCTCCTTCTTCTTTCTTCTTCTTTTCCTTCTTCATCATCATTTTCTTCTTTTATTTTACTTCTTTATCATTTATTTCTTCTTCTTCTTCTTCTTCAACATCTTTTTTCTTCTCCTTCATCATCTTCTTCCTTTACTTCTTCTTCATCATCTTCTTCCTTTACTTCTTCTTCATCACCGTCTTCTCCATCATCATATTTTTCTTCTTCTTCGGCTTCATCATCATCTTCCTCTTCTTCTTCTTTTTCTTCCTTCTCTTCTTCTTCCTCACAACAATCTTTTTTCTCTTTCATCGTCTTTTAAAGTCTTTTCTCCTACAGTTTTTGTTATATCTATTTTTCTTTCTCTCCTTTTCCTGTTCATTTGCATTACATTTAGATATCCTCAAAATTTCCACATTTCGACTTTTTGTCTTCATTTTTCTATTCATTCCATTCAATCGTTCATCTCCATTACATTCACCCTTCCTCCCGCCCTATCCCATTTTCCTTTCATTTTTTTCATTAATTCCTTCATTTGGTAACATTTGGTTGGGTGGTTGATGTTGTTTAGCGACATCTCAATACATCTATGTTTTATTTAATGCCGAAATCTAAATATTTTGTATGTAATTTTATGCTTTCAACTACAGATATTATATACATGATTTTAAGCTTTCACAGTAATGATATGTTCTTGTAGATATATAGTTTGTTAATCGTAAAATGTATTGTTGGTAATTTTAATATAAAAATGTATTTTTATACTTTTATAGTGCTGCATTGTTTGCTATAAAATTGTACTGTAAATTTTGGTTTGGGAGAGGCCACTATTTGCCTATAGCTATGTTACCACCCCGAGTCCGGGTGGACGTAGTAACAACAGCAATTAAGAGGTGGTTCCAAGCTCCTCAAACATCTGATCTCCCGAGCAGAGGTCTTGCAGCTGGATGTAATTTATATTCCGTAAAATAAAGCGACAACAATTATTCGCAACTATTCAGTTCTATTTCATAATCAAAACTAACATAAAAATATAAAAACAAAAAATGTATTACTCCAAACGATTTTTTAATAGGCTGTTTGAAATCGACGCCATTTTTCATATTTTATTATTACTTCTATCGACCAGAAAATGTATTCTCCAGCAAGATTCGAAACTTCGTTTTCCTTTGTAGGAAAAACCACTATTTAATCTTTTCTACTTTAAACCTCTATAAATTAAGCAAGAAACTATTTATTTAATACCAGGAGTAATTAATCCAAATTGATTTTCATTCTATCAGACGGTTTCCAGTTGAAGGTGATCCTAAGTATCCAGATGTAACTCCCACGTCGCATTGGCATACATGAAAGAAGAATTTTAGCCACCCGATGATCATAGTTCATCCAAACTGTCACTCATGAATAAAGATGCAGAATTAATCAGCCTCTAAGGCAGATTCCAATATGGCAAGCAAATCTCTGATACTGAACAGAGTATTTGCTGTAGACCATAATTAATTAAACAAGATAAATTATTTACAACACCAGCAATTGTTAAGATACGAAACGCGAAGATTCATGCCAGTTGAAGTATCAGACCATTATTATTATTTCATTATTTCCTTTGACTTCTGTTGTATACTCATTTCCATCGGGGTCCCAACCAGAGACCTAAGATCAGAAATGGCATCATGGTATTTTCCACTGAACATATTTGTAAAAAAAAAATGTAGTAAATAACCTAATATCACAAACATTTTACATAGATAAAGCCCTTCGTAAGGTGTACTTGTGAGTACAATTATTTGTATTTCTTTAAAGCATAAGCTAACAGGGATCCCTTCAATGTGTCTATCGTAAACTTTTCCAATCAAACTGAAGGCTCCAAACACAACTGAAATTATTGATGCCTTCATGTGACACATTTCTTAGATTTCCATTGTTGGTGTTGCTATTATTATTATTATTATTATTATTTTATTTCCTTTGATTTCTGATGTGTACTCATTTCCTTCTGGGTCCCGCCCATGGACCTAAGGATTGAAATGCCATCATGATACTTTCCATTGACAAAAAAAAGAAGTATTTTACATAGAAAAAGCCCTTCGGAATATGTCGGCTGTACTCGTGAGAACAATATTTTGTATTTCTTTAAGGCATGAGCTTGAAGGAATCCATTCAATTATTCTACTAGAATTTTTTCCAACCAATCCGAGGGCTCCAACTGCAGCGGGAATTGTTGATGTTCCCATGTGCCACATTTTTGAGATTTAATATTATTATTATTATTATTATTATTATTATTATTATTACTAGTAGTAGTAGTATTATTACTAGTAGTAGTAGTAGTAGTAGTAGTAGTAGTACTTCGTTTGGCTTTTGTTTCATTCCCTTCCGGGTACCAACCAGAGACATAAGGTCAGAAACGGCATCATGACATTTTTCATTGGGCAATTTTATAAAAAAGAAACAACAAAAAAAGAAATACCTAAGCTCACACACTTTTTACATAGATAAAGTTCTTTGTATGTTGCGAAATGTATTTTGGGTAAGATTTTTTTATTTCTTTGATGCATGGTTTACAAGCAATCCTATAAAATCTATCTGAACCTTTTACAAGCAAACCACTTTTACAAGGCTCCAACTGCAACTGGAATTATTATTATTATTATTATTATTATTATTATTATTATTATTTTTATTATTATTATTGTCATTGTTGTTGTTATTTCTGAAAGTAAACTATTTTTATAGATATAGATTGAAAAAAAACGTAAAAGTGCAAAAATACCTTCATCTTCCAATAACTTTACTTTTTTTAGCCCATCTTGCTATGTTGAGCACCACAGTATTGTGTTGTATTTCTTTCTCCAAATTTTCTGTCTTCTTGTGGATTCCACAGCCATCGTGAATATATTGCTGTCGCTTTTATTTTCCAAGGTTTTTAGGGATTTTCTTTTAACGATTTAATTTTCTTTTCCTTTCTCTTCATCAATTTCACATTTATCGCTGTATTTTTCTTTTTTTCAATGATTTTTGTAAGCCTATCACTGTTGCATTAGACAATAGGCACGGCCACCGCACACGCTTGTATCTTGCGCACTCTAATGATTTAATTGAAGTGCCGAGTTTTTTTGTTTTTTTTTCAATTTTTATATCCAGGTTTTTTCGTAGTCTCCCATCTTTTCCATTGTGTTATTCGTTGGTAAGCTTTTGTTTCAAAGACCTAAGTCAAAATCCAGGACACAATTTTGAACCTTCCTCTTTCTTTTTTTTCTTTCATATATATATATATATATATATATATATATATATATATATATATATGAAGTAATTGTCGTTTTTGTTATTTTTAAAATTTTCTTAAAAATATAATTATACAGACGCTCATGAATACGCATATTAACAATAATATGCTTATATGATAAAAAGGATACAACATCTTTTATGCATATTATATATATATATATATATATATATATATATATATATATATATATATATATATATATATATATATATATATATATATATAACAATAAAAAATAAAAAAATTTAAAAATTAAAATCTTTAGACACACTAAGTTGTAGATTAATATTATTTCGTTTTTTTATTATTATTATTCCATTTAGATTCCTCGACTAGTTTCGACCCAAATGGCCATCATCGGGAGGATAAATATTTCTGCTTGCTGTTAGCACTAAACTATATATATATATATATATATATATATATATATATATATATAGAGAGAGAGAGAGAGAGAGACAGACAGAGAGAGAGAGACAGAGAGAGACAGAGACAGAGAAAGAGACAGACAGAGAGGCAAATGAATGATAAGATGGGAAATTGCCTATTATTTGCTCTTTTTTTTAAGAGATATTTTAAAATCAAATATTTCATATATATTCAGAATGCATACACAGACATATATACATACATATGTAATCTATCTATCTATCTATCTATCTATCTATATATATATATATATATATATATATATATATATATATATATATATATATGTATGTATATATACGTGTATGTGTCCGTGTCTGTGTCTGCATGTACGTATGTATTTAGATATAAGATTGTTGCTGAAAAGTTATCAAACCACCCTTCAAATCACATTAAACATCAGAATTCCTTTAGAAATCCCTTCTAAGTTGACCGAACTTTTCAGCACTCCATGGTGTACAACCCCCCCATATAAACACGTATCTATCTATCTATCTATCTATCTATCTATCTATCTATCTATCTATCTATCTATCTATCTATCTAATCTCTCTCTCTCTCTCTCTCTCTCTCTCTCTCTCTCTCTCTCTCTCTCTATATATATATATATATATATATATATATTCTCCTTCTATTTTTTTCTTTTTTTCGCAGTGCGAATTGTTATTCTGTCAATTTAATATTTGTTAACGTATCCTTCTGATTAGTGCTGGTTGAAATGTATCCTTAAAGTAGAAGATTTTCCTGCGTTTTCAAATCTATGTAATCGAATATATGCTCTTGTGAATTGGTTAAGTGTCGAAATCGTGATTTTTCAGTATGTTTCATGTATAAGTCGATCCTAGTTTTTCACCCTCACTCACCAAATTAAGCTAACAAAGCAACTTAAT